ACTCGGCCAAAATCGCTTAGGCGGTTACAGCGCCAAAAAAGAAGAAGGAGAAGATATTAATTTAATTTAATTTAAGTTATTTTATTGTGTTATTTAATTTCATTTTCTAATTAACCTTTTTACTTTGTTTATTTAAAATTATTGTGTTAGTTTAAACGTTTTTTTTTATTTTATTGTTTTAATTTTTTTTACGTTACACATTTATTTCTTCTTACATAAATTGACTTGTTTTTTAATTTTTTATATCTTCCTTAAATAACATTTAATTAATTATTAATTAATATTTTATTAATTTATAATTTTTTTTAACTTAGCTTTAGGTTTTGTTTTAATCTTTTTTGTTGCAAATCCTTTTTTTGTTAGTTAAATTTAATTGAATGCTTTGATAATTATTTTTTTACATTTGTTTAAATTTCCATTCTTTTTTGCTTTTAATCTTTTATTTTATTTATTTTATGTTATCAGATCTTAAACTAATTTACTTTATTTTATTTTATTTGTATTTTTCTTTTAATATTTTATTTTCTTAAGTGGCATGAATTTTTATTTTATGTGTTTTTGTTATTTTTTTGGCCTTTATAACAATTATATTCAACAATTTATATTGAGCTCGAGGCCGTGGAAAAAAAGCAGTGGGATCGTCGGTTCGAATCCTAATGAAAGAAGTCTGATGAGGAAATGTGGTGATTTCCGAAATAGCTATCACTTCTACCATTTTTTCAAATTATTGTTGCTATTCCACAATAAAATTTTCATTTAAATAATTTTTATTTTATGTTTAATATAATTTGATTTAATTTATTTTGTTTTAATTTATCTTAATTTTATTTTATTTTTATTTAGATTTTTAGCTTTTTATATTAATGTTAAATTTTTTTTAAATTTAGTTTTTATTTCTTATATCTATTTCAACTGATTTAATTGCATTTATTATATTCTCTTTCTATATATTTTACTTTATTTCATTGTAATTTTAATGAATTTTGTTTCTTTTCGAATTCGTTGTATTTTACTTAACTTTAAGTACATTTCAATATATTTGTTATTTTGTTTTAATTTATTTTCTTTTACATATTTTAAGTTAATATTATTTATTTTATTGTACTTCATTTCATTTCTAAGTAATTATTATTTTTTTTATTTGCATTTTTTAACTTAAATTTTGGATTTTATATTTTTTTATTTTAATTTAGTCTATTCTTATTTTTTTGTTTCAGTTTTATAAAGTTTTTTTTTGTTATTATTGTTTAATTTAAATTTTATTTAATTGTATGTCTTTATATATAATTTAATTTCATGTACATAATTCCACATTTAATTTAGTTCCACATGTATTTAAATTTAAACTTAATTTTTTTATTCATTAATGTATTACCTTATATCATTTTATATTCCAGATTTTATATAATTTTTAATATTTTGTTACACATTTTCTAATATAATTTAATTAATATTTTTCATTTAACTCAAATTTATTCCATTTCAATTTTATTTAATTTCTGCAAATAATAAAAACTCGAATTCGATCTTTTTTGCTACTCACCGCGAACCTTGGCATACTGACTAAAGAGCAGTAGGCGCAAAGCACCAATAACAATAACATTTGCATGGCAGCGAAGCGGTAACCGCGGGAGAAATTTGGATTTTTCAATGCACTCATCACGTAGTATTTATAAACAAATGCGCCAAATTACTTAAAAATATATAAAATATCTATAAATAAATATTTTATTTACGTGCTAACTGTTAACTTCTCAAAACAATCAAATCTTACACGCAACACTTTTAACAGCAGCAAATTTAATAATAAAAACTTTCAGCACGAATTCGAAATTATTAAATTAATCGAGATATTCTACTAGCACACTGACTGTTTTTATTTTCGTGTCGTTTTGTGCCTTCTTAATTCACCTACTATTCAACGTCCAATGAATTGTCACGCTCGTCCACGACTACTCAACAAAGTCAAACTAACATTGAGCGCTCGCTTCGCGTTCACTATTCGATTCGGACGCGTTCTACATATAAATTAAGTATAAATCTGCTTTATTTACAAAAATGCTAATCAAAATAATTTTTTTTTTTAACTCGCCAAAAAATAATAATATGATGCTCATAACTCATTGCTTACCGCTAACTCCCACTACACGACTCTTCCCAATGCAAAATTGTCATGCTCAGATTTTCAAAATTTTTTTATTTGTCGCTCGTGTATATCTACTACAAACAGCATAACTTGCCTGCTCACTCTGATTTACATTAGGTATGAACTCATTCACACTCTCACTGCACTAACTATACTTAAATAGCACAAGTAGATAGTCATATTCACCGCTGTGCTCAAATATCAGTTACTAATTGCATTTGTGGTTGTTGCTGGTATTGTACATACATTTTTAGCTCTTATTAATTGCTAATCGCATTACTCAAACGCTGTTACTCTTATAAAACATTCCCGTTAAGAAAAATTTCAGCTAAGGTTATGGTGCTGGTCTATAACAACTAGCCCCGATAAGATTTCCATTTTGATACCGCACTCACCCGGAAGCCTATGCTCTATCTTAAACGGTAACTGCCGAAGCTTAAATTTTCTTAGCTGCGCTTGGATCGCCTAAAAATCTTGTACCTGGGAATTTTTGCATTTTCCTGCAGAGTGCAGGGCAATCTCAGAGTAAATACCTTTTAGGCTCTTCTTCAGAAATCATTGTTGTGGAACCCAGAATGTTCTGTATGTCTGCCTATCAAGACATATCCTGTAAGCAGCCAATTGCCATTGGAACTTTGCTTCTACGGAAAGTAAGCATTTGTTTTGATGTTCCCATGTACCATTCAGATCGTATTGCAAAATCCATATGGCCCCTGCTTCTTTAAGGAAAGATTCACTTTTCCAGAACCCATTATTGACAGCTTGTCTCTCTTCTCTTTCCTGGTACGACACTTTACTTCGATATCCATAACTGTGGTAAAAGAAACGTACTGCCATTTAGTCTAAAAATTTAATTTTTTAGCATAATGGCACAGTTTATAAAATTTTTTTTAACTATTTATATAAAGAGCGCTTGTTAAAGATATGACTGTGTTACATAGATTTTCGTAAGAAGTTATCGAAAATTACATTAAAATCGTAATTTTTTTAACATATGGACGTAGTTTTAAAAACTTATGCTGCGAGTCTATGCAGTATAGAAGCTTTTATTGAAACGCAAGCCTAATGTGTACCGAAAAGTTTTCATTTATACTTTTTAAAGAAAAGTTACGCTTTGAAGGGTATTTTTAAATGAATTCCCGAAAAATCTCAAAGATTTTATTTATGTATCGAGCCCTAACAGCCAAAAACGTAGGCATATAGAATCTAGATATATGTATGCAATTCTGCATCCAAAAGAAAACTTAAAAAATACCAAGTTAATCAATCCATTTTATGCGAAATTATTTAACATGGTTATTTTCAGTAGCAAAAAAATAATAATTTAAGTAAATAAAATTTTTTTTATTTTTTTTGAGCTTGACGCCGCACAGTGTTTCGACTATATGGAGGCAGATGGAAATAATAGTACACCTGCACCGATTTCACTGAAACTTGACATGTGCTCTAGTTTCACTTAGAAATAGAGAATTATGAAATTTTGTAAAGATGGAATAATTGTCACGCCCTCTACTCTTGTGGCCGGAAACATTAAACCTCATCCGATTTCGATGAAATTTAGTTTGTAGTCTTTATTTTATTAGAAAAACCTAAATATAAAATATGGGGAAGATTGGATTACTATAACGTTCAAAACTCACAATAAATGTGGGCCCAGTCATTAAATGTGATGGAATTTTGGGTAATTTTTGTATCCTGCTTTCCTCTCTCAGAAAACAAAGGTTATACAATAAAATGACTTAGGTGTCAATACTAGCTTTTTTCCCAATATCTGGTGGGATTTTTTCATTGTTTGAAAAATTCCTTTCGGTAAATTATGCAAAAAGAAGCTGAAAATCAAAAATTAAGAAAATCAAAAATTACATATATTTGCAAAGTCGCGCGCAAAGATCAAATTATATATTCGAAAACTACATAAAATTCTCTAAAATATTAGTCTAATTTCAAGACCTGACGGACCGGTACTCACACTTTTTTTTACTAATACTCTTTAGCATCTACATTTCAAAGTAAATTTTTTGGTAAGAAAATAGGAAAATACCAAATAAATGATAAATACCTTCACCTGAATATTCCACGACATTTAGATAATTAATTACAATTGAAAAAGAAACACTTTCTGTAATGGGTTCAGCGCCAAATGCAACTAAACTGATTAGTCGGTATCGCGCCCATTCCCGTGTTTTTTTGGAAATGTATCGTTCGTGAAGAAGGGGGGTGAGTAAATAATGTAAAATTTGGTACTTATGACTTTTACTATTCCCTCTCTAAGTCAAACCGGTTTTTTTACCAACTGTCACCATGACTTTTTTCTACCTGCCTCCCTATAATCGAAACACTGTGCGCCGCTATTATTGAAGGTTTTTTGAAAAAATACCAAGAAAGATATTTCAAAATAAATCGTTACTAGGCCAGAAAATAACAAAAACAAAATATTTAAAATTTTTTTAAGGAGCTAAAGAGCAAATTAATTTGTTTAGCTCTTTGCTCCAGCTCCGCTCCATCTAAAATCCTTTGCTCGTTAGCTCCCTGCTCCTTTGCCCTGCTTTTAACATTCACCATAGATTATAAATTTTCCTACAGGGCACCTATAGATTGTTTAGTGAGCACTAAGTGCAAACACATGTATCAACTACGACTGAGTAGCTGGGGTAAACCAGCGCAAATCATATAGCCACAGTGATTATAGTGCAAATGCATACATACAAGCGACAATAATGAGGTGAGCGTAATGCGGCACAGTCAATTATTTTCTCTATTGATCGACTATTTAGCGGTATGTGCGCGCTCCCAAGCGGTCAGTGGGACACCTAAAGCGTGTCAAGCAGGTGATTGAGTAAATAGTAGGGTGGTGGAGACTAATTTGGTACGACGCTACGCAGAAAGGAGGGGATAAGAATTTCTAATTATAAAAAGTTTGCAACTGGGAATTGACCGGCCAACCATTCGATCAAAACTCGGAAAGTGGTAGACGTGAAGTACTTTCTAAGTGACTTCACGGAAAGGTAGATTTAGACTGGGAGATATGTTGTACGAAAGGCTATGAATTTCCACCATATTCCCGGTCCTGTCTCTGTTCAGGCCTGGAGAACACTACTTTTATTCTGAATGAAGGAAACGTCCCATTAGCTGTCCAATATATTACAACTTTCTACCATAGACAAATCACTACACATTTCTCCCCCTTGCGGCGCCTCTGTTCTTTGAGCATTCTTTGCCAGAAAATTAAATTATTAATGAAATTTAATTGTTTAATACACGTTCTCGCTAGTTGAGTTGAGCTTGCTCATGATAACAACAACCACTAAAAATACAACTGACTTTATTACCAGCAAATATTTGCACATAAGTACTCCCTACCTGTATTGTTTACATTTGACCATACAACACTAACAAAAAGCATTATGAACGCTATTAAACAATAGTAACAATAGAAACCGTTGTGTAAGTGAAACTAATCGGCAGAAATTTTATTTGCAACTTTGTGCAACATAAACAAAAGGTGGTCGCTGTTAAATAGTAAACACATATGCACACTGCAAAAATCAAGCTGCATAAACATTCGACATAATTAGTGTGACACATTCAACGAGTATGCTATGCGCTTCAAATGCATTTTAATTACCTATCTACCGTGCAGTCATCTACTAGGGCTGATATGCAGTGCTATTTATTCGTGCATACGAACACTAAGGGACAAAAGAATAGGTGCAAAATTAAATTTGATATTTTTTAAAACTCATTTTTATTTATTTATTTTTAATAATTTTCATTTAAAATGTAGTAAAAGTTTCAAAGCTTACATTCAAAAATTAACTAAAGAAAAAAAAATCATCAAAATTTGTAACTTTTTATTTAGAATTTTTAGAAAACTGACAACGAATGGACATTTATTTCTATATGCAAGAAAGTAGTCAACATCTTCGACAAAAAACCAACGGTAATTTTTAGAGATTTTAGACTTGCACATTGTTTTATTAAAACTAAAAAGAAAATTTTAAAATTTTGATGCAATTTTTTTTTTGTTTTTTTTTTTTTAATTAGGCTAATTTTTGTGAACTTTGTGTAAGCTTTGAAGTTTTTATTTTTGTGGTTGCTGTCATGGATCGAAAAGGAAAATTGCGATAAATAAATAAACAAAAATAAGTTGTAAACAATATACATACATAGTTTTGAACGTTGCACCTATTTTTTTGTCCATAAGTTTAAACTTAAGCAAATGAGTTGGTCATATATGCAAGGTACACGTTCATTTATTTCATTTTCCAATTGCTACATACTTATGTATATATATGTATATTAGGGAGAGTCAATTTGTGTTGGAGAGTTTTTCGACTATGAGCGTATAGCACAGAAGGATTCTACGTGTATCTCTAATCTCCAATTTTCCGAAGAAACCATCATGGATCTAAAAGAAATTGGGAGTTTGTCAAATTTTCTAAAATCGGTTTCTTAGCATTTTGCTGTAGTGTCGTAAAGAAGTGCTTAAATTTTTTTGAGGAAACCATTTCTGCAAATGTTTTTTCTTAAAACGTCCATATTTAGTAGGGCGCAACAGTGAAAATGTTCACAGTTTCTTCGAAACCTATTTTCGCAAATTGGCAAACTCCGAATTGATTTCAGACCCATGGTTTCTCGGGCAAATTCGCTTAGAATTATACTTATAATCCTCTTTTGCTATAAGCGCATGGACAAAAAAAAATTGGCCCGCCCTAATGTATATGACTCATTCGGAAAAGCCAACCGTAAAAAATATGCCAAACAAATGACGATCGCGGAATTTTAATATCAAAACAGATTAGCAATTTTGTATTCAGCTAG